ATTTGGTTAACACTGTATCCCATTTATCATAATAAATTATTTTACTGTTTTGTATGTTACTATGGCATCTTTGATATTTTATAAGCTTCTTGTTCATTTTTCTACTGTTTTGACATTTTTAAATATTGTTTTCCATTTCATCTATAAATATGAACCACAGATTTCTATTGGATTAATTTCTGGAGAGGGTGGTGTCTATTCCCTTCCTTTGAAACCTTCTTTTGGTAAGGTGTGTAACCATCAGCTTTAGAGAATGTGAAAGATCATTGCCTTAAATGAATATACTCTTCAGCTTAAAGTTTTTTTTATTGTAGTCTGTAACACTTAAAAATGTTTTGCCAAAGAACTTACAATAATTAATTTTTATATTTTCGTCAACTTTGAAGGTATATACAATTTTGAATACTAAAAATGCCAACAATACTAAATACAGACATTACTAAGACATGTTGGTTGTCTATTTCAATGAAGGAGCCAAAATCTAGTTCAGCTATCAGGTCCACCCAATGTAGCATTATATTCATCATTAAAAATTACTGATGAGAAATCAGTTTTTATGTACTTCTCTCAATTTAAACTTTTATTTTTGTGATATTTACTTAAAGCAAACTAGAAGATGTTAGTTTGGTTGCTTTCATGTTTTTGCCAATATTCCTAATATTCAGAATCTTTTCTGTTTCCATTCAAAAACCAGATTCTTCAAATATTTTCTTTTTAGTCAATCCACACTCCTCTTGTTTTTTACGCTTTTCATTTTACTCAAATCTCAAATCTCTTTTATCTTTGATATTTTTAAAGCAAGATTCTTCATTTTCTTATCTTACTAATGTTTTCAATTTCATTTTTGGTGGTTTTATGATTTTCAGTAACTTTTTGCACTTTTAAAATATTTTGTTTCTCTTTTGAGGCTATGTCTTTCTTAAATCCATGCTGAAGATAATATATATATATATATATATATATATATATATATATATATATATATATATATATAGTATTGAACTCAACTCTTGGGCCAAGACACTTTTGAACCGCTCAACCAACGTTTTTATCCACTGGGCCTTGTGTCCTTGGAGACACTCTACCTCTCTATGCTAAATAAAGTTTTCAGTTTTAAATTTCAACTAATACCACCTGAAGAAGTCCAGAGTGCACAAGAGACAGAACATTGTGAATATGAGGATGACAGTTTGAACAATGTAAATAGTGTAAACCATAAAAGTAGTATAGCAATATTTCACTTCATCAAATAATATAAATATTTTTAATAAAAATAGATATTATAATTTGAAATTTACATGGTATATATCATAAAAGTATATCCTAAAAACTTTATCAATATTGATTAGTTAATATTAATTTTGTAAGGGCATAGACTTGACAGTGTAGGATTATTTCTGAATAATAATAATAAAAAAGATTTTCTTCTTAATTGCATAGATTCAATCAGATAACTAAGAAAGAAATCTGGTTAGAGGAATAATTAGATTAAAAATCTTTAATAGTTGACGGTTTTGATTTTAGCAAAATATTTCTTGGAGCTGGAGGTGATATGAAATGGTTAATGACATGAAAAATTGAATTGCGCAAATTGTAAGTTGTGTCCATTTATTTGGATTAATATCTTTGGAAAATCACTAATCCACTTCTCTCCCACCAACTAAATAAATGGAACAGACATAATGCTCTAACATTGGTTGATAATCATTCTAAGAGAAGGACAAACCTGAATTCAAAAGCATAGGGAATGTGACAGGAAACCGCTCCAGTGGCTTTATATTTTTATATTGATACTTAGAAAAGTATTTAAGAGTATTTCTATGTTGAAAGCTTTTCAACACACTTTGAAAAATAGTTTGTCAGTGTCTATTATAATCTTTTATTCTGTAATGATTTAAATTCCATTTGAAGCATAAAATTAGATTAAAAATTGTTCACTTAAATATTAGTTATTTAGACTTATGTGCATGTGATCTCAATTGTTTTGATTTCACATGGTCTCAAAGGAATAATGTGATAATAAAAAATGTCCAGTGTGCATAAAACACAAAATGTTCATTATTATTATCAATTGAATCGAAAAGAAAAGAAAAAAACAAACGGCACAGAACAGAATTTCTATGCAAAACAAAATTATATTCTATTTTCTTTTCTGAGACCATAATTATCTTTTATTTTCATATGATCTAAACTCGAGTAGGGATGGGATTTTACAAGACTGGTATTTTGAAAATAATAACTCTTATTGAAGAGGAACTTTTCTATCATGAGATGTTAATAATAATTGGCTTTTGTTGTATTAATGTGGAGAATTTCTGATTATTTTCTATGTAGTGAAGAGTTGTTTCTTTATTTATATTATTTACAGTCAAATTACTGTCCCTATCCTTGTTATTGTTATCACAACATTTCAGTCCTGTGCCCTCCATTCTTCAGGGAATTTCAAAATGGAACCTTTATATAATCTACAAGGCTACATTATCTAGACATGGTCAGTAGA